TCTGAGACATAATATTGCACGAGCAGCGTAGTGAGACCGCTAAACGAGACGCACGAGTACTACGTGAAGATGCGAGAATAGAACACGGCGCAGCATAGTCGCGTATAAACCCATCTAATACATTGACTTAAGCGTTACGTGGATGAGATATATTTACAGAGTTATCTCGTCACCGTATCTAGCCACAGCAGATAAGTGTAATTCATATATTTTAAATACTTTAAATGGGAGGAGTAGATTCTAAGAGTACAGAATATTATAGAAGATCTGGAGCACAGTAATTCCTCTACCGGATTTTTCTGGTCATAAACAAGTGCGAGAGGAGATATATTCTTTGCGAGACACCTACGAAAAGAATAAATTAGCCGATGCCGACTAAAAACGGCCTACAACCTAGTACATCGTCCTTCCGTATAACAAACAAGCTTTCCACCTCAGGGTGCACGTATGTAAACCCCTCGACATCTGACTAATATATAATCGCGACACATATAGAGTAAACGATTGTAATTACCTCTTTATCAGGATAATGTCTTCATTAAGAAGTAAATTATGACGTTATATTATCCTAACATAACCGTTATAGTAGGCTTAAGGAACGCGAGTAGACTAGTATAATCAAATATTGCGCGAAGACGCCGAAGATACGGGACAGATCGCTAAGGTATATACTCGTAAAATGTTGCCCACGTGTCTTAACTATCTCAAGTATATACTCTTAGGATCACATGAGAAATACTCATGCACACAACTATAAAAACTACTCTAAATCTCACAGTTCATATATCCCTATGAATCATTCTCTCCATCTATCCCTGGACACTCTCTCATCTATACAACAACTTAGAAAACTAATACTGAAACGTGACACGTATATGTACTTCATTGACATCTCGCAAATAACTGTACGAAAGACCACACCGGAAACACAAAAAAGTCATCCCCAATCGGTGCAAATACCCAGAATTAGGCTGCACCCTGACCACAGGGGTGGGCACGGGATTCGGTCTAGCCAGAGATGATGACAGCGAACAACAGATGCACTCACAGGGAATGCAACCCTCCGCCCGACATTACGGCCATACACAATTCGTGAACGTTTTTCCACCTTGTTTAATGAATTTCGCAATAAACCTGTGGGCAGTGCCCTCTATACTACTACACCGCAAAATACAGCAACACAGCCCCTCACATGCGTACCGAGCACAATTTCAAAAACTGATGGAGTATAAGAGTGCGTCCCTGTCCAGGTGTGGAGCTTAAAAGACGAACAGCAACACGTAACCACTAGCCACGAGGGAGTAGCACGGCTGGCTTGGCGCGTCGCACTGTCCACCAAGAAGTTTTTTCGTGAAATATAGATTACGCTGTTGAGTAATTAGATGTTACAGGGGAGCTTCGTAGGCATGATATTGGGTGCGTCAGTGTGTCGTTCACTGGTTTGGCATTGCCGTAGTGGCGGCGGCTTACTGGGCTGTCAGCTGCGTGTGGTGAGTATTATCTAAGACAGAATGAGTAGGTAGCTGACTTATGAATGTAGTGCCGCCGTTCTAATAAGGATATTTATGTTTTCAACATCAATGACAGCTAATTACAATAATCCGACTCCGTTATAAATGACAGTCATTAATTTGAGAAAAAAACAAAATTCTCGCTTAGAACTCGGGCCGTAAATCTGATTGAAATCGAGACGCGTAGTATAGCCCTGTCTGCCTTGGGGTTCAATGGCGTAATCCCGAGCATTTATGGACCGACAGCCTAAACTATCAAACGGCCTTCCGTAGAAATATATGGCCTCCTTTGCACCACAGCAAGGTCAATGCACTCTGACTATTAAGATTCAAATCCACATGACGTGTTAATAATTGTGAGTTAGACACTGAAATAAGACTATTATGGGAAAAGCGGTATAGGGTACAATCCGAAATGCTAAACAAGTCAGTGTTCTATTTATTTAGGACTCGTACATACAACAAATCGAGAGTCTTAGCGAAACGTCGACCTTTCTTTTTGCCAAGCACAAATTCGAGAGATGGACATCAATGCAAGTATTTGATGCTTTCAATGTGTCATCGTATCTAGGCTCAGGCGATTCAATTCGCTATAAAATGCGGCTAGCTTTGTGTAAGCATGGCGTTTGGGTTGCGTGTGCGCTTTTGCGTAGGTTGCAGTGTGAGTTGCGCAAGCTGAACTTTAGTGATCCCCCGCATATTGCGATCACGCCCAAAATTCTGCTCCCTGGTTAAACTGCCGCTGGCAAAAAAATGATGCCAGAACGTTGGACTTGGACAAGTGCGGTTTTCGCCTATGATGTATATTATATCAAGCCTATAATAATAGTATTCTACTTACAGTTTACGGTGCCTGAAGTCCGCTTTAAAAAAACGTGGAGGGCTGCGGCGAAAAATCTCGCCCGTACTCACACGTGAAGGTTGTTTGTAATGATATCAGGTGTTAATTAATTGTATTAAATTATAATATATATAATATAAATAATAATTGTAACAAATTTGTTATAGAATTGTAACGACGATAGTTAAGTTTCGCGGGAAGCGTCGTGATCGTCTGAATGTTTCCTGCTCGTGTCTTGCCCTGGTGAAAGCATCGCAGCTATTTATATCACGTGCGGCGATACCTACAGCTACTAGTATACCCATATTTTTTCGCGTACGGATATTTTCGCGAATCAGACTTGACGGGACAATTTCGCGAGTGATTAATTTCGGGTGCGTCGTGTGAATATTATGAATTATTCGGTATTATTGCTATGAATTATTCGCGGTGTTGGGGAGCGCTGTGCGAAATTCGCGAAAATTAAACCACCGCGAAATATGAACAGCGTATTGCAGGTTAAACGGAGTCTTACCGATAAACCAACATATGCGCTTATAAGTAATACCAACCTACTTACGGAGTATAGCGTGCGGACGATGAGGCCAATGTATTCTTGAAGACGCCTCTGAAGGTTTATAGACTTTGGACGCACATGCTGGTATACCTCCGTAGGCGTTTGATTAATTCTCGTTTTTTGCAGATGTTAATTAATTAAGTGAGGCATAATTGCTAGGGCCGTAAGGACTCCTTCAATGTTCAACTTTCTACGTGTGGGTCTTCAAATCGCTCAGTAAAAGTAAGCGTGATAAATAGCATGAGAATAATTACGAATTGGTTAAATTATGTGTTGCTATGTCCGAGATATGAACTGCGTGGCTTTAGATATAACTGCGATTGCTTTTCTTCTTGCTGTTCGCTATGAGAATGTGCTCTTAAGGCTGCTATAATTCGAAAGATGACAATAAATGCACCATATTCGCTATTCCGTGCAGCATATAGCCATCTATGGGCGGTGGAAGGTTGTGCTTTAGCGAGCATGTTGTGTGTGCAGAAAATAGGTAAATAGGGTAGCGTAATATTTGCTTCGTTAAGTAAAATGTGAATTATCAGCGTTATTGGCAAATCAAGTTCATCGTAGCCAACGAACCGTAGTTTATTGACGCGCAACAAGTTAAACGATACGTACTCTGGCATGCTAATCCAGGACATTTAACCGTGCGGATGTTTTCCACACGTCAGAACTTCATGCTTGCTTGAATCATTCGCGCTCGTTTCGGGGCTTAAAGTTCACCCCGAATTAAGCGACAATCCGTACATATTTAGAAATGCCTTTCACACGACGAAGTGATATATCCGAATATATATATTATATATATATATATATATATATATATATATTATATATATAGTATGAGATATATTATCCAAGCAGTGCTAACCGCGTATTCATTTGACCCGCGTTTTCCATTAAACGAGTCTATAATTAGCAGTATATATGGATATATATCCAGCAGTGTAACCGGTATCATTTGACCCGTTTTCCATTTAAACGAGTCTATAATTACTAGTATTCGATGGTCCATAATGTCATAAAAAACTTCACTCCAATAAATGTATAATATGCATCTATAAATAATTCATTTGACTACAGTTTGGCTGGAAACGATAATCTCACCCATAGTCTATTGATTGGTTTAAGCTATTTATTTACGTTGCAGCTATTACTTCACGGTAACCTAATGCATGAGGCTGAAATGCTTGCGGTGGCTTCCATTTTAGAATTGGATATATAGTTGTCGAGTATAATGACTACGTCACGATACCTATAACCTTGTATTCCTTTTTCTCTATTGAGTTCTGCTTCAACGAGTTAATAAAACACCGACAAAATCAGACAGAGATGTATATCTATCTATGATTTAATCTCAGTAAAACCCATCTCGTTGATGCAATGGCGATAAAACAGATTAAATTTCTGAGTTCCTTTAGTCAAAACGCCACGCCGTTGCCCAAAGACCCATTATTTTCCATTGTTAGGATCTGTAAATCGGTTGTTTACGCGAGCCAAATAGCAGTTTCTGAAGTCACCTTCTTTCAAACGTACAGCGGTCGCTCTCGCGGAAAACGAGTAATTCAATAACATAATTAATTATACGTTTTATCGCATTGTAATATTCTAAATGTAGAAATCGTACGCGAGATTTCATTATTAAAACATTCGCGATGGCGTTCGCGTGACGTAAGTAGATGCGAAGGCGGTCGCAAATTAGCCTTTTTATTTCTTTATCAGATAAACATGTTATATATACATAACGTGAACACGCCATCATGGCGTTTACATATAGATATGCATGCGGTGTATTGAATGCTGTCGGTTAATTTATTGCAGCGTCTCGTCTATTTCTCATTCGTTGTTATTTACGTCATCTTTTGTTCGAATTTTTAAGTCGTAGCATTTCGGAAAATGATTGATTGGACAATATCGCGACGCTGAACGTGTCGTTGTATGATTTATATGTGTACCCCCATAGGAATCTTGGCGGTACCCCTATCAAAATTTACATTTTATATTTATTCTCATATGTAGCAGAAGTAAGAATAAGTCATCGAGAAAGCGACACGATTTTGATTGCGTTTTAATACGTCTCGTCATTTTTCCCTTGCAGACATGAGGACATATTGTGATTGGTACCATATATCGTTTGGACTGCTCATCATCGTTCCACTCACCTACCAAATGAGCATACACAACGAGAGGTCGATATCATGCGGACAGAACCCGATGGCTGATGTTATGTTATTAGCCAGAAACACAGGTATTAATACATATGTATTTGCTCTCGTTGTACGCGCGCCCAGAAGTTGTGTCTTCATCGAGTTAGAAGCACTCACTGGAACCATTGTTTTGTTTCGCTGGCAGGTGAAACTGATAACTCCATCTGATAAAGTCATTTCACCGTGTTGTCAGTTGTTATGGCATTGTGTACACATAGATAATATATATTCTAGTAGTTTTAACATGTACGTCGCCATCAGTTTAATAATATCGCCGAATCACACAGTGTGATCGTTTACCTCCATATCATATACATGTACGGGTATTTGCATAATTAGAATAACATTTCGATGCATGTGTGCCATCAAAGGAGAGAAATATCCCTAATATATATGTAACGCTGTCACAATATAAACGATGTATACGTTGGAATCGTCGTCAATTTTTTTTTAATGTTTTCCTGTTTAGGATTTCGGTCTTGGATATCGGTTACGATGTTCTATACATCAACAATATTATTTTGTTTTCAGCAGAGCCTGACGTTAGGAAGTTACTAACTGTCTGGCAAATGGTTGACCGGTTTGGGTTCTTAGCGTGGCAGAGAAGAATGCGACGGTTTGAAGATTGCGCACGAATATCAGAGCATGTCTACTGAAGACTCGATCACGACTGCAGCTTTCTTGCAACTTCTAGTCTGTTATTTTTGAACGAAATTATGTTAGGTTATATTATATATTTTTATTATCGAGCACTCCGTGAGATAAAGCGTTAAGAATATTATATGAATCCATATTCAAAATGTAAAAAAGTCAACTCAGGAACCTTTGTTTTTTAATAATTTTACCATTGAACATGCATATATTTGTTTGCAGAGTGAAATACTAGTTACGCGCGTATGACGCATTTAATGTACGCAATTAGAGGTATAGTGCAAAATAACATTGCAACCTATGACTTTTGTTTGAATTTTTTAATTCAATTTTAGTTGAGAATTTAAATACACCCCAAACACACACACACACACACACACACGCACCAACACACACACGCACCAACACACACATACACAAACAAACAAACACACACGCGTGCATGTAGCCATAGTAGTGTGTGTTTGTGTGTATTGTTGTGTGTGTGTGTGTGCGTGGTGTGGGTGCACTGTGGGGTGTGTGCGTGGCCGTGCCGTGCGTGCGTGCGTGCGTGCGTGGGCGCGCGTGTTTAAATTCTCAGCTAAATTAGTAACTGTGAATGGAAAGTATACATCGTATAATCACAGTCATTAACATTTGCTGAGTTATATCAATACGATGCTGTTGTAAAATACGTTCAATCTAGAATATATATGAGCCAAACTATATTTTACTACTAATTATCTGTAATAGCATGTACTTGGGATGTTAACGTTCATAAATACGTGATATATACGCTCTATTTACGGACACACTCGCGCGCACACAAACACACGCACACGCACACGAACACGCACACGAACACAGAACACGCACACCACCAACACCACACAACACCACACACAGCACACAACACACACACACACACACACACACACACAACACACAACACACACAAACACACCAAGCAACACTACAGCACACACACACACACACACACACACTCACGCAGTAGCCACGCACGCCACCACGCCGCACTCACACACACACGCACGTCACCCACGCACGCACACACACCCACGGCGCGTCACCACACACACACCACGCAGCAACGCCACACACACGCGCACGCACACACAACACACGCACATGCAACGCACGCACACGGGAACAGTTATAAGCCGCAGTAACACGGGGAAAATAACCTGCTTTGTGCGCCTACACGATAAAAAAGGCTGATTCTCAAAGAATTAGTGCATACCCGGCTTACGCCTCAGACGCACCTATCTTACTTATCTATCCTTTGACGCCATGCATCGACATTTTAAGAATAAGGAAATGACATTGCTCTAACAGCAACGTCCATTATGCTTTGCCACACAACGAGGTATATCAGTGCAGCTTAAAGATAACACCAGAGGCCGTATACACCAAGATGGGGCAATAGATCAAGGCGAATGTTAGATAGACTTACTACGGCCCACCTATGAATGGTTGATGACGTAGAATGCTATGAGTGACAATGGGCCTGTTCCATTCAAATCTGTCTGTGTTTTCTGCTATGAAAATGCCTCGACGTTAGTATTTCGTCGCTAACTGCAGTAATAGCCGCGATGTTTCTCATTTTTTCACTTAAATTTTCGATAGCTAGAGAAAATTACACACTAGAGTTGAATTGCAAGAAATTGATGTGGGGCATACAGCTAGTTTAACATTACCTTGTGCTTCCGGTGAAAATGATAAATATTCACTTACATCACATTCTTCGTGAACAGCTGTTTGTTTATTTCAATTGGAAACAAAGAAACCCCCAATTTTTTTTTCAAATAAAGTCATCTCTAATGCCCTAAAATTTATTCTAATCCTGTAAATCTCGTAATTACTCTGTATGTGTGCGTACAATTGAGGTATGTTTTAGCAGTCACGATTCTGTTACCAGCTTGCCTTAAACTCAAAACTACGATATTCAGTATCATCTGTTTGATAAAAATGATCTACTATTAAATTATGGCCATTACAATACTAGTGTTATATATTACACATTACATTTCTTTATACGTCACTTTATTATGAAGCGATGACACGTCATCGACTGCCGGGCATATGAGCGTTAGCCTACTCAATACGTTTTATTTATGTAAAATAAATACACTTACAGTAAAATTATAATGCAGTTAACACTACATGCTGCCTGTTGTGCGTACCTATACCTTTCATAACAGGCTTTTGAAAATACCACAAATTATTCATTGTCGTACACAAACATAAAGTGCACCGATGGCAAATCTCTATTCGATGCTAACACCAATGCGATTAAATGTGAAAACAAATTCGAACAAACAATACTAGAAACAACACAAAATTTGCAATGCCACCGATAAGCTTAATCGCTCGAATACTTTCTATGGCAAGTGCTGATGTTTCGTAAATAATAAAACTCGTAAAACAATTTTCATAAAATTTCGTTTCGGGAATATCTGGAATATCAGGATTTTCAGCGGTATATTAATTGCTATGGCAGCGGTTTTAGCTAAATTATTGAGAATTAGTAGGCGTGTCCTTAAGAATAAAAAAAAACGATTTCATAGATAACGATATTACAAAAGGTCAGTGTTAGTTCAGATGGGGAAAAATGCAAATGACTGCGCAAATGCAAAGGTTACAACTTGCGATGTAAATAAAAATGTCAATGTTGCACGAAGAAGTGAAGAGAAATCCCAATATCGAATATCATGAAACACGTTTGACAAATTAAACATCGGTAATAGTTACTAGTACTAGTTACTAGCAAAACTAGACCTTGGCTGGAGCAGCAAGCGATGCCCGCTCGTAGGTGCATGCGTCGCGTCACCTATCCTCAGTATCTGCTGATTTCGATACGCGCCGCGTCCACAGAAATAGAATAGAAGTAGAACGCTCATACCCAGGCGCGCAGCGTCGCCAGTTTCTGACAACTGTCACGTGACCAGCGCCATATTGGTGCAGTCACCCTGCATAGCGCATCACTAGTAAAGCTTGACCCCCTTAAACAAATTTTAATACCAAATGCAAAGAAAATATGATAAGAAAGTAGTAGTTGAATGTCAAAGTACCCGGCGTTAATGACAGTTAGTTTTAATCACAGAAAAACATGCATGGATGCGTTTTCCTATAGATTTTAAACACTGCTTTCTTACAGAGGTAAAATTAAAATTGATAACTGCTACTGAATAGATTGTTGCACATGCTGGTACTGAAATAAAATTTGCACTTAACTATCCACATTGGCAAGAAAATAAGACAAGTTTTTATGTAGCTAGATTCGCACTTCAGCTTCCCCAGGCCCAACTAGGAACCAATTTAATTATGCTTCTAAGATGAATACAATACATTGTACGGCGAAGAAAAAGTCATTTCTGTATAATTCCATTCATTCACAATATTTTAACAGCTTGTAACTGTCGCAACTTATGTTTATTATTCTACTATTTGGTATTTCAAAACATAGGCACAATCAGATCTTTTTTATTGCGAGCAAATATATATACTGTATGTACTAACAATTAAAAATCAAACAATTCAAAGTTTTCTAAGCTGCACTACTTCTAACTAATTGAATTGCTAGTCAAAGATAATAAATGTATATAATTTGCATAGCAAAATGGATAATTAAAATTAAATACATACACACAAACAACGGAATACAAAAAAACTAGTTCATGACACACCTTATACCTTATACAGGTACAACGCCGATTTTTCGGACACTGATGCTTCGGAACCTTTTTTAA